AATTTACCAAGGATCGTTGCAAACATGCAAAAGCACGGGCCAAAGAGAGCGACAGTAATCTTCATGCATGAACTTGCCATTTAGATTTGGATTTGGATTTTGTTTGCCACACATAACACGATTACAATTACAAACCGATACAAAAAAATGTAGGAAGAAATGGCGATGAGGCCTAAAAGAAACTCAGTAAAGCTTATGTTAATTAGGCCTCCTCAATTACAATTTTTAATTTAAAGATAGCATAAAAATTACAGCGACGGATACAAAATACTACAAGATGGAAAATTAAAATAACAGTCAATATCAAGGAAGTTAACAAATGTTGAATATTAAACAGATTTTTCCCAAGATTTTTGTTAGAGAATACTAATAATTATTGCAAACAAATGCCTTAAGTGCTCTTTTAAAGGAAAAAGGGGAGGAAGCGTTGATGATATTTATCTTTAAGGTGTTATAAAATTTAGGTCCTTGATAAAATACCGAAAATTGTTTGATTCGAGTACGACAGAGAGACAGACAAAATTTACAAGAGGTTCTTGTATTATACGAGTGAATTTGCCTTTGTAAGGTAAATTTAAAATGAAATTTTAAAGGCAGAGTATGGTTTTGATAAAATTACATGAATAAATCTATTTGTATTAAGTATATTACTATATCATGAGATTTTAAGATACCAGGATTTTGAAAGACTAGATCAGTACGTGTATCGAAAGGAGTTTGAACGTTGTACGTTGACAACAACAACAAAAAGTACGAATACGTGTTGAATAACATCTATCATTCTCTAGTGGACTCCGGTCCTCGTAGGGCAGGGTTCAGTTCCAGACTCGGCAGCTTTCTTAAGAATCTTCTGTGCTTCCTTGACAACGGACTCCGCCTTCCATTAGACTGATGATGGTAGGGGATCGCTGTCACGTGCTTGAACCCATACTCTTTGATCAAGGCTTTAATCTCTCGACTATTGTACTGGGAACCACTGAGTCTGACACAATGTCGTCGGGAATTCCAAATCTCGCCATGTGCGCCTTAAGCTTATTGATTACAGTGGTAGCTTTCAAGTCGTACAGCCTAAATTTTGAAGAAACTCGAGAAGTAATCCACTGTCACCATGTAACTCTGTTGGTCTAACAGGTCTGTGGAGATTTTCGCCCAAGGACAATCTGAAACGTCATGACCCATAAGCGTCTCCTTCTATGTCTGGTACTGTAAGTTGCACACGTTTCACACCTGGAAGTGACGTCGTTAACATCACTCCTCACATTTGGCCAGTGAATTGTTCCTCTAGCACGTCTTAGCGTCGACTCTATCCCTTGATGGCTAGAGTCAAGTGCCTGGAACATACGTTTGCGAAGTGTCTAGTGGACTACGAGTCTGTCACCCCTGAAGACTAATCAATCCTGGACCACCAATTCGTCGCGGCAATCATGGTAGATCGCCACTGCTGGCTATCCGCTGGCCACCTAGACTGCACTACGGATATTACAGCTTGCAGAACATCATCGTTCTTGGTCTCGTTGCGGAACATTTCTGCCTCGTGCTCGCTCACCAGGAGGTGTTTTATCTCTTGAACGTCTTGCTCAACTTCAAGTCCCTCCACAAGGGCGGATCTGGTTAAGAAGACGTGCTCCCTGTGGTCTCATTTAACTTGGGAAAATGCAGATTTAGGATATCTGCAAGGTCGAGCTCTTTTCCCTTCCAGTGCCGCACGTCTAAATCGTATCGTTGCAGCCTCAAGATCATTTTCAGCAATCTCTTTGGGGCGGAAACCAGTGGCTTAGTAAAAATCGTCTCCGGGGGCTTACGGTCTGACTCGACACGCACCTGCCTCCCGTATGTATACTGGTGAAACCTTTCGGTTGCAAACACAATCGCGAGAAGCTCTTTCTATATTTGCGCATAATTCTTCTCTGCTGGAGTCAGGTCTCTGCTTGCATATGTTAGCGGCCTACCATCCTTCACTTGAATTACACTGAATGACTATCCTTCTCTCGCACATAGTGCTTCAGCACTGGTGGAGCTGTCACCATCTCCTCGATCCTATTGAATCCTCTACCACTGATTTCATCCCACAGAAATTCCGTGTCCTTCTTTGTGTGTAGCCTGAGAGGCTCTGAAACTTCGGACAGCATCGGCAGAAACTTTGTTAGGTTCACGGTGCCCAAAATGAGCTGAACAACAAATAGAACAGTCCGATTCTCCATGTTAAGTACTGCTGCAATCTTGGGTGGGTCTCCCTTCGAGGTTAGCAAGTGTTCAGTGCAGGGTAACTCTGTCTGCTTAAAAACCTCTTTCTGTTTGTTTAGCTTAACGCCACGCTCTTCGCATCTTGTCAAAGGCTTCTTGATTTTGAGATGATGACCCGCAATCGCACCTTGCATCGTTTCACGAACACCACCTACAAGGATGTCATCTGCAATCGCATACACTCCGTCTAGGCCTTCAACTGCTTCATGTAGGCGCAACTGGAATATCTCACTGGCAGGCTCAATTCCAAAGGGTATCCCGTATCTGCCGAATGGTGTGGCGATCGTCGTGAGCAAAGAACAACTATTAAAAGTTTTCCCTGCCAATAACCATCCTTGCAATCGACTTTAGTGAACATTTTGGCTTTGCCCAGCTCAGGCAGAATGTCTTCAATCACTGGCATCGGAAACTGACTTCTCTTTAACGCTTTGTTCAAAGGCTTAGGGTCCAGACAGAGGCGAAGCTTGCCGTTAGCTTTTCTTGCAATTACAACAGAGTTCACCCATTCGGTAGGTCTCTCCACTTTCTCTATGACACTTTTAGCTTCAAGATCATCAAGGTGCTCTTTCAGAGGCTTTCTCATGGCTTCAGGAACTCTTCTTAATGGCTGCTGAACGGGTCTAACATCTTTGTCGACCTCGAGCTGCAAAGGGGATCCAAGAACCTAACTTAGAGCAAATGTGTTCAAGATTAATTCCAGCGGAAGTTTGGCTACATGTTAGGTTTACGCTCACGCTCACGCTCTCGCTGATCGCGAGTTCAGCTACTTCGGGATACGAAGTCTTGATCTTTTTATCCCTGAAGGCAATTAATTGCATCTGCTGGGCTGTTCTACTTCCGATCAGATTGAAACAACGCTCGTCTTCTCCAGTGGTGAAAGTCCACGTCTATCCCCGGGGTTTTCACTTGAGTCTTACACTTTCCAAACAGTCTGAGGGTAGAGGAATTGTACACCCTGAAAACTTGATTGGTTGGCATGATTCTGTCTAGTATGTATTTTTCTCCCTTGATCGCACTCAACTAAACAACATCGCATGTTGCCCCGGTATCGATTTGGAAATCAGCTTCCGGTACACCCATGATCTTCATTGCTTCATTGTACTGATCTTGAAAGGAAACGTAGACTGTACAGCATGTACCGATTCTCTTTCCGGAGTTAGTCGAACCGTGAAAAGGGATTCTCCAGAGTCATTGGAAAAGTCCCTAGATACTGTGTTAACGAAATTCCGGCGTTCAGGTTTTTTCTTTCTTTCCCGCTGCATACAAACGTTAGCAAAATGTTCGGTTCTTCCCCACTTGTGTCCGATGCTGCCACGAGATCCTTTAGTTGCTGAGCAGTTGTCTCTCCGCTTTTCGGCAAATATCGATTGCTTTTTCTAGGCTGAGATGCCTTTCTTGCAGTCGCTTCTTTTTCAAGGCGGGCTCCGTAAAACCAAACACAATCCTAATTGAATTCACTTAATTAATTCAAAATGACGGATTCAAACTGGCCGACGGTTCTAGTTCCTTCTTCAATAATAAGTGACGTCATCACGACATCGCTACATTGTTAAAGATTATTAACCTGTTAGCCAAATCCTTGATTTTCTCAGATACCTTACTATTCAAGTAATTTTAGCCTAGAGGGGAAAAATTGATGGAATTTGGATTCTGCCAAAAAACTCAACATTATGACTTCATAATGGCGTCAAATTACGTCATCGTGTCAATCAAGTTATGCCTAGATGTTATGAGTAAATTATTCTGTGCAATTTTGATGGCCCTATCGTGAGTACTTTTGAAGTTATAGGGGTGTCTCCAAAGCACCCAACACCGGTCGGAGGAAACGTTACTGAATTTTATGCGTTCTTTTGCTTTCCATTTGTTAAGAATCAGGGCACAGATGTTTCAGTGTAGGCTGATTATCGGTGTTAAGTTTTAATCATGGAGTCCATGTTTCGTTTGTTTAAAGAACATTTCCTCAGTTGATTCAATTTAGCAAACAGCAAATTATTTTACAACATCCAAAACTATGATTGTAAGCTACTATTAAAAGTAACTGGGATTTCTTAAATGAATTCAAATTTCGGGTAAACCTTGAGTATCTGAAACCTGCTTTGAATAACCCGGTCCAGGAGATTTCACAGTTCACTCATGCAGTTGTCACAAAGAGGATTGTCAGACGTCTGGTATAGGCTTTCTTAAATTTAAGCAAGCTGTTTATTTCCATTTAGTGCAAGATTTATACCAATTAAAGACAGTAAATAAAGTTCAACTTTAAAGGTTTAATAACATAAAAAAAAAACAAAGGCAAAATTGTAACCAAAATTGATGTCTTTGAAATGATACGAAACCTATTTTCTTAATGTATCAAGAGTTGATAATTAATGCTCATAACATTTCATGAAAATATTTACAACGCCTACTTTAGCAATAAGACTTCTGTTTTGTTAGGCAAAACACATAAACACAATCCACAAAAGTTCAAAGTAATGAATCTGTAAGTATTGCTTATCCGCAACGAAAACGATAGCCTTAAAACGTTAAAGGAATATCCTTGTATTAATTAAAAGTGAAATTGGAAAGGACCAACGTACAATTGTACTCTCTCTCTTAACCATTTTCTCTCCTACATCTGTTACCTCATCATTAATGTCATTTTCTTTCATTCATTCTTTAGCCACCAAAAATTCATGATGTAAAAATACTTTAATAGTAATTCTTGGTTTCAAAGTATGACCAGGCTATTTGCTCAGGTCTGTTATTCATTACAGTCGTCAAAAAATTTTTCTGGACTTTCTTCTTGTCTTTCTCTCTTTAATTTCTTGTGCATACTCATCCGTCATCTTGTACGTGTTTTCTGTCTCTAGCAGTTTCTTCAGCTTTTCTGTTTCCAACTGTAATGATTTGTTTCGTATACTCTCGCGTCTAAGCTTTTCCCTAAAATGATCCACTGAGCCTTCTCTCCTTTGAAACCCATAGATGACAGTTTGAATGATAATGAGCGCAGAAATCAAATATGACCTAAGAACAAGCGATGCTGCTAAAGCGCATGTGCTGACTACAACCAATACAACGGCTTTCCATGAGACTGGGGACTTCGTTGCTAGGTGGGGCGTTTTTTCCCCTTCAAGCTCTTTCTTTTTTTGTTCTTCGAGCTGATCTTCGGCATAGTCTGCCAATTCTTGTACAGCGTTGCACACGTCATCTGTCATATCATCGTCGTCCTCATCTTCAACGTTTATTTCTTTCAATGTGCTGACCATTCTGTTGTAGAACCTTGCTCTCTCTAGAGCCTTTTCCTCTGCCTTAATTCTCACGGCTGATTCAAGCTCCGTCCCCCTCGGCGTCTGCTTTGAAATAATATTTTGCATTCCTTCCATCTCTTGAAGCTGCCAAATTAACTTTGCTAACGTGTTTCGTTTTTCCTTCCTTTCCTCTTTTTCCTTTTCAATTTCTTTTACAAGCATATCTATCGCAGCCTTTTGAGTTTTTACCACCTCAAACTGCCTGTCCAAGAGATCCGTCATCTCGTCTATTTCTTCGTTCTGTTCTTCAAAGGTTTGCCTTTCATCTCTCAACATCTGAGCAACCTTCTTTTTAGAAAAAGAAGCGTTAACAGCAACGATTATCAACAGGGTAAACAATGCGTAGGGGGCTGTGAAGTGGTATCCAGAAAGCTGGCACAGAAACACTGACATAGCAACACATACAGGAATAGCTGAGATTGGTATGTTCATAACTTTGATTCCATGCTCACGCCTCTCTTCAGAAATAACAGCTAGTTTTTCAAGTTCCGCAATCTTGGCTTGTCTCTCCTCCATATCAGTTTCCCTCAAGTGCTTCATATAATCGATTTTTGCCTGTAAAACTTTGTATTCTTCAAGTCCACTTTTCCTTTTTTCTGCTTCAGAAAGTTTAGTTTTTTCGATTTCTTGTTTCAGTTTTACCTCGAACTCTTCCGAATCTCGCTGCTTGTCAGAATTGAAAAGTGCATCTTTGCTGGCCATTAGCTCTTCCAGCTCTACACGTTGAACCTCTTTGTCAGAGATTTCTTCTTCCAGTTGTCTTCTGAGCTCTTCAATCAACTTTGCGTCTCCTTCTTGGCGAATCTTCATTTGTGTGATTTTTTCGAGGAGCTCTGTCTCTGGATATTCCTTCTTAGGTGTCGTTTTACCAGTCGCGTTTCTTTTGAGGCGATAAGCAAATAACAGAAGTACTATAGCTGCAACAGAAGACGCAAGCACGCTTCCGAAACCTCTTGACTTAAAACCAATTGTCAGAAAACCAATAGCGACAGCGACAAGGAAAAATGCAAACAAATTCCTCTTGATAGAGCAGGAATTTCTCGACTTTTCGTCAAGATCCTTGTTGAAGAGTAAGTTTGAGTCAACACATGACGGGTTAGTGTCGAGAGAATGGCCCAGTCTCAATTCTTTGTCTTCAACGAAAGCGCATTTTTCTGAGCTTCCTACCAGATCAGGTAGAGGCAACGTCCTTTGCAGGCTAGCATCCTCGGTTCTTATAATGGCTTCTTCAGCTAGACCATCTCTCGATGAATCGCGTGTCATACCTCCCTCTGTAAGCGCCAACATGTCCTTCCCGTGTCGATTTTCAATGGAGTTAAGCAGCATCTTCAAACGCTTCATTTTCTTTTGTTTTTCACCAATTTGTAAAGCTACAACTCCACGAAGACTGCCTCGTCTCTTAACATAATTCTTCTCATTTTCTTTGGGTAATTTTGCGCGCTTGTCGTCCTCTTTCAAATTCTGAGCCATTTGTTGGTGATCAGCGATGTCTGCTTTGAGGGACTCGATTTGGTCCCGCAGATCGGCTACCATCTCAGTTGCGGTTTCTATATACTTTTTTCCCTTCTTTCTCCTCTCAGCGTTTTTAACTGCGTCTTCTCGTTCTTTCTCTGCCTTTAATGCGTCATTAACAGACTTCATAACTTCCACCGATACTTCCAAGCACCGTCGATCTTTGTCTTTGTCGGATAGCTTAGCTAAGTATTCTTTCTCAAGAACTTGAATTTGTTTCACTTTTTCTCCCAAAGCCACCCTCATTTTCTGCATTTCGTTTGTAATATCTTGGATTTGTTTCTCCTTTTGTGTTACGGTCGCTCGCAGGTTCTGTATTTCTTGGCTGTCACTGCAGACCTCTTGTGGCTTCTTTGACTTTTCTACCTTCCTCAGCTCTACAATTATTTTGTCTTTTTCGTTCAATGTATTTTTAAGATCGTTAGCTTCCCTTTGGATCTCCTCCACTAAAAACTTCTTCACGTCAACGTCAGTCAGGAGAAGTTGATAAGACGCCTGGAGCTTCTTTAGTTGAGCTTCAGCTTTTTGCGCCCTTTCCTCCATTCTTATTAACAATGCACTTTCACCGTCATCTCCTCTTCCACTCAACCGTTTACGAAGGCTGCTTAGTTCTGCTAACTTATTGTCAATAATTCTCTTAACGTTTGTCACCTCCTCCCTTAAACTGCCAATAAGCGCTTTTGATCCTACCAGAGACATTTTGCCATCAGTGGCGTCCTCTCCTTTCTCTCTCCTAAGAAGGTCCTCGTTGTAAAGAATATTGTGTTCAGCTTCATCTAAGTTCTTCTTTAAGGTCTTAATCCCCTCCATGGTCTCCTGAGTCAGGTTTTCTTTTTCAAGGTAGAAGCTTCTCATGTCCTCCAGTTCTTTATCAAGTTGTTCTATCTTATCTTGTTGCACTTTGCACAAGTCCCGCATTTTCCTGTTTTCTTCTTGTCGTGCACGACTTTCTTGCAACTGCTTTTCATACTGTTCTGTAGTAGCATGCAGGTGATTGGAACCCTCGATGACCTTAATTTCAAGTGACTTCACAATTTCGTCTTGATCTTGATTTTGTTTTTGTTGCTCAGCCAGTAACCGTTCAAAGTATAGGCTACGATTTCTCTCGCTGTTTAGGTCATCTTGCAGCCTTGTAGATTCCCTGCGGTGTATTTCACATTCATTCTCAAACATTCTTAGCTTATTTTCATTTTCTTCCAATTCAGCAAGCCTGTCTTCTTTCATTCTTTTCTCATCTTCAAATTTTCGATTTAAGTCTTCTAACATAGTTTCTCTTTCCGCGAGTCGTCTTTTTCGCTCCTTTGTCTTGAGTTTGACATTTTTCTTGGTAATACGTCCTGCTAATATTTTACTAAACAGGTCGTCATATATAGGCTGATTTTCTCTATCATTCTCATGGCGACGTCCCACGCTCTCATTCTCTTCGTAGCCACAAACGTCCTCATCTGTTGAACTCTGGCTATCTTCCAAGTCTTTTGCGAGCTCATGAGCCATCCGTGAAAGCCACAGATCATTTTGTTCCAGCTTCCTCTGAAATTCGTTCTTTTCACTATCTTTCTCGAAAACTTTAAATCTTTCCGCTTCTAGCATACATTCAAGTTCCTGTGCTCTCTGCGCTTGGATTTCTACCTTCTCCTCCATTTCAATTTTCATCTCTTCCGCCAGTTTTCTCTCTACATCTTTTCTATTAAACTCTTCTTCGCGATTCTGTCTCAATTGTTCTTGCAAATCAAAGCTACTTTGTCTCTCTGATTCCAACTGTCCCTTAACTTCATCCTTTGTTATACGCTCAATGTAAAGCTGTTCCTCCAACTCTTTCAAAACGTTGTCACGACGCACAGTTTCACTCCTCTCTTGTTGCAGCAATTCATCTAGTTGTCGACTCTGTTCTCTTTCCCTGTCAACGTTTCTTTTGAGCTCCTCAAAGATTTCATTGTCTTGAGTAACTTGCCTTTCCAAATCCTGGACTTTCTTTTGAAATGCTTGGCTTAATAATCTTTCCTGGTCGCAGAGCTCCGAAGTTTCACGATGTTTAAGAACCTCTGTATCAAGTCTACGACGCAATTCCTCAAACAAAACCTCATCTTTACTGGTAGTTTCTTCTAATTCTTTGACCCTTTCCTGTAGCTGTAATTTCAAGCATCGCTCATTGTCCAAGTTGGCTACAAGTTGTTCTGCTCTTAACTTTTCCGTTGCTAGTTCGCTTATGAACGCGCTCAGCTCTTCTTCCTTTTCTTTGTTCAGCTTCTCTGCTCGCTCCAGCTTTTCAAGAATTTCAAAATGCCTCTCTTCCCCTTGCAAGCAGTTTTCTCTCAGACTCTCTAACATATTCTTGTCGCTGTTTATCACTGATTCGGTTTCGTTAAGTTTTATCTCTAACTCCACGATTCGATTTTGTTCTGCATGCAGCCGTTCCGTTAAAATCTTATAGCACTTTCTTTCTGTATCTAAATCAGACTTGAGTTCCTCTATGATGGCATCTTTTTGTTTGGCGTCGTCTTCTTGCTCTCTTAGCTGGTTTTCGGTTTCACAAATCCTGTTTTTGTCTCTGTTTACCTTTTCCACGAGATTCTCCTTATCTTTTCTCTCCTCTAAGAGAAACGCCTTCATTTTGTCGAGCTCGCTTTCAAATTCTGATTTAAGAAGCTGTTCTAAAGATAACTTTTCTTTAAGCTGGTTGGTCAGTTGCAACTCCTCTTCTAAAGCCTCTTTTGTTTCGCTTAGTCTAATTTGCTCATCTTTTATCCGGTCCTGTAATTTTTTTATACATTCTTCACGCTCAACTCCGTGGACTTGTTCTTTTGTCAGAGCTTCACTGATCCTTAGTGCTCTATCTTCGGCCTCTTCTATAAGCTTGCGAAATTCGTCACTTCGATCTATTTCTCTTCTTAGTTTCTTACTTAAGTCTTCAATCGTGTTCTCCTTCATAGTAGAGTGACTTCGCTCGATTTCAAGGCGTTCACTTAATTCAAACACGTGGTTTTGTTCCTTTTCTAGATTCGACTTTAATTCTTCAAGGAAATCACTTTGCTTTGCAATCTCGTTCTCCAGGCTTTTGATTCTCCTTTCTTTTTCTGATTTCTCCGCTGCCGACATATCGGCTGTCTTTTTTAGCTCTTTGTCCGCTTGAATTCTTATTTCTTCTAGATTCTTTTTGCTCTCTTTGAGGTTGTCTTCCATTTCTTTAATCACTCGCTCTTGCAAATCAGAGTTTCGTTCTTTTTCGTCGGCTACCTCTGCTTCTAGCCGTCTGATGGTTCCTTCTGCTTCATGAATGTCTGCCTGCAACGTAACTAACGACTTTTCTTTTTCTTTTAGCTCTTCGTCGAGAAACTTTATCTTTTCTTGTAACCTTTCCTTTGCCATTTCTGCTTTTTCTAGTGTTGCGAGCAAATGATCCATTTTGACTTCACTTTTTGTTAGAGCAGCCTTCAATTCATCTCGCTCAACCTCCCAAGGTACTCGCTTTACTCTGTCTTCTTCAAGGTTGTCTCTTATTTCACAAAGAATGGACGAAAACTCTATGTTCTTCTTGAACACTTCATCCATTTTATCTTGAAGTTCTTCGATTCTCCTGGCCTCCTCAGAAAAGATAGTCTCTAAAAGTTCTTCAAAGTGAGACAATTGTTTGCTAAGTTCGTGCTCAGGCATGCTTCGGATCATCTTTGTGGGACTTTCTGGTCTTCCATCAGCTGTATCGCTCTCCTCAGCTGGTGCAAGCTCGCCGCTTAATTCTTGATACCTCTTTCTTATTTCTCCAAGTTCCTTCTTCATCTCTTCCACTAAATTGTCGTATTCTGTAGACTTGCTTAACAAATCTTCAATTTTCTTATCTTGCTTGCTATTTTGGTGTGATTGTGTTCTCAATTCTGTACGTATATTTTTGCTTGTCTCTTCTACAGCACCAACACTTGCTTTGAGTTCCCTTATGAAAGAGCTATGTGAGGCTAGTCTCTCATTGATTCTTTTCATGGAGACATCGGGTTGCCCAAAGCGATGTGAGTCATGTGAACCAGGCGACATGCAATGCAAATGCCGATTGATCTTGTCCACTTTTCCCTTAATGTCGTTGACAGTCTTCTGGTACTCCTCTACCCTTCGTTTCAGATCTTTTGTAACATCTTTCTTGTCAGTGGATCGTCCTTTCTCGGACGCCAAAACAGCTTCTATGGTAGAAGCACGGAGTCGCTCTTTGTCCACCTGTACTTCCAAATCTCTGATAAGTTTTTGTCCATCTTCAACTTTCTTCGCCATCTCCTCAGAGTGTTGAAGCTGCTGCATGGCCTTATTTTTCATCGCTTGAAGCTGAGCATTAAGTTCTTCGTTTCTTGCAAAGTCTCTCTTGCTTGTTTCGTTTAATTTGGAAATAAGATTGTCTCGATCGTGGACTTGCTTCTTCTCAGCTCTTAGTCGCTCACGAAGATCATCCACCAAGCTCTCCAACCTGAGTACTTCTCCTTCCATATACCTGCGCTTTTTGTACTTGTAATTTTCTTTCTTGGCGCAAAGTTCATTTCTTGTATCATTTGCTCCAGCCACGTCAGATTCATCGACATCCTTTGTCTCGTCTTGAAGTTTCACGATTTCTTCGAGTCGTTGTATCATGTCTTCGTACATAAGGTTTTTCTCCTTTTCGCTTTGTAAGATTTCCAACAGTTCTTGAACTTCTGATTCATATTCTTCTAGCTCTTCATTAGAACCAAATGTTTCTCCTTTGCCCTTTATATCTTCATAAGAGGCAGTCGCTTGAAGGTCTTGCTCTAGCTGCTGAACTTGCTTAACCACATTCTCATTTATTTGTCTTCTGTCTTCTCCCTGTCCCAGGACAGATTCTTTGATTCTCATCACATTCCGCATTCTCTCAATTTCCTCTTTTAGATACTTTATGATCTCTGATTTTGTATGGTTGTCCATTTTAGACAATGCCAACTGTCCACTTAGCTGAGCTACCTCATCCCTCAAGTTCTGTTCCTCAACAGCACATCTTGTAACAAGCTCCTCAATCCCAAGTTCTTTCTCGTTAACATTCTCCTTTAATTCTTCTATGACGTTCAAAAGCTGCTCATTCTGCTTCTCTGCCTCCATGATGTTCTCAATAGAACTTGACTTTATTCCTTGATTATATTGGTTTAAGGCATCGGCATCGGAAAGCTGTTCTTCCAGCTCATGGATAATGCGTTCGCTCTCCATATTCTTTTTGCGCTCCTCCTCGATTTGGCCTTTCAGCTTCACAACCTCCTCGTCTTTCTTACTGTTCTTCTCCCTTTCTTTCTGTAATTCTTTCTCGGCGAGTTCGGCAACTTTGATTATCTCTTTGTTTTCCGACTCGGTGAGGTAAATTTTCTTTTCCAGCATTGTGCATTTTAGGGAATATTCCTCCTGGACAGATCGTTCTGAGTTGAGATTTGCTATCGCTTGTTTTAATCGCTCTTCTTTCTCCTGTAAGCTTCGGTCTTTTTCCTGAAGTATACCTGACAAAAGATCATTATTCTCTTTGATCCAATCCAGTTCTTTCTCCACATTCTCTAATTTCTGGCTAGTGTTTTTCAGCTCGTCCTTAATATTTCTTATCTCCTCTTCTTTTTCTTCTAATGTTTGCTCCGTTTTGATCATTTTGTTCTGCAACTCCATTATACTTTGCAGATTGTCGTCATTTCTTTGTCTTTCTGCGCGTAGTTTGTCTTTAACGTTTTCATAATCATAAATTTGAGAACGAAGCTCCTCATTCATGCTTACCTTTTCTTTAATAGTATCAAGCAAGCTCGAAATTTCTTGCTGGAGCAGTTCGATCCTCTTTAGATTAAGCTCATTCTTAGACTCTTCATCTTCTACTTTGTTTTTCAACTTGGAAACCTCCATTTCCATGTCAAAGTTGACCCTTTTCTCATCACTGATAGTTTGCTGCAGCTCTCCAACTCTTCCTCGTAACTCCACCACTCTTTCTCTTTCTACTGAAATTTCCTCATTCAAGGAATTGTTTTGGGATTCAAGATCAGCAGCAAGCTTTTCGTTTTCATCTAGTAAATTTCGGATAGTATCAATTAACTGTCCCTGCTCCTCTTTACCTTTTTCCTCAATCTCGATTCTGTGCAGGAGCTTCTCTATTTCTTCAACCTTCTCGTTGTTGCGATCTTTTTCGCCCTTTACTTCGCTTTCCAACTTCTCGATGTAGCCCTGATTTTCTTCCAGCTTTTTCTTCATCCACTGCACAAGATGATGGATTCGACTGGAGTCAGATATGTCCTCTGCTGTTGCACTGTCCTCTTTTGCAATGTCTACAATATCCAACTCTTTTTGTATCTCAAAAAGCAGCGTTTCGGCTTCTTCTTTTAATTTTTCACCCACAATGAGTTTTTCTCTCAAGGATTCCACGTCTCCTTCCAGCAGTTTATTACGTTCCTGAAGCATATCAATCTTACGCTGATAAAGTTCTTCTCTAGCTTCCAGATCCTGTAACTTTCCTTTAATTTCATCGGCTTCCATTTCCATTTCGCAGCTCGCCCGTTTCTCCTCATTTAAATCATTGTCAAGGGCATCAATTTTCTCTCGTAGATCCTTTGTTATTTCATCATGCATCGTTTGGCTTTGAAGAATCACCTTTTCTGCGTCAACTAACTTCTCCCTTAAAAGTGAAACTTCGCTGTCCAATGTCAATTTCTTGTCTTTGAGACTGTGCACCTCACCTCCCATTCTCTCTATTTCAGACCTCATTGAGGTTTCCATGGATTCTGCGTCTTTCTTCAAAAATGCAAGTTTTCGACTGTATTCTCTTCCAACTTCGGAAGCCTTTCTCCAAGCATTCAATGACTGAGAAACATCTTCAACATTGCACTTTGAGATAAGAGAGATCTTCCTCTTTTTCGCTTCTTTAAACAGTTGGCGGATGACATCAAACCAGTCGTCGACTTCTTGCTTCAAATCCAGACATTCTTGGCGTCCTTCGCCCTTTGAAAGCGATTCAACATCCAAGCTGCGAGCACGGTCAGCAAACGCTGCCTTTTTATCCACTTCTGATCTGATTTCATTTAGGATTGTGTCCAGCTTCCCGAGCTTCTCTATGACGTCATCGCACCTGTCGCTAAGCAATTCAGAAAATTCCAAAAATTCGGATTTGATTTTATCTCCTTCGATAAACGAAGCCTCTAGTCCTTGAAGCTTTAAAAGCAATCCTTGGAGGTGTTTTGCTTCATTATGATATTTTTCGGTGACTTGCTCCAAATGTTCCCTCTTTTTGTTAATCTTATCTGCTATTGTGTTGATCTGCCCAAGCAGATTTTGCACAAGATTTTGAGAAGCGTTGTCTGAGTCTTCGTAAGACATGACGAGTCAGTGATGACGTATTAGTCTGGGTTGGAGAGAAAGAATAACGCAAGCTTATTAGTGATACTGAACAAATTGAGTAGGGGAAATATATAAGTAAAATCGATAAACGGGTTTCTTTAACATTTAATGTCATTTCCAGGAGAGGAAGTAAATGATTACAAACCTTTTTCAAATATAAAACACGTCCAACCTTTAATTTGGCATTTTGAAGTGAACTTCGAGGTTTCAATTGCACAGGGGCAATTTCAGTTTAGGGATAATTTAGCTAGGGACGTTAAAGACCTAACCACCCAACACAATTAATTTTAGGAGGCGAATAAACGAGATTTTCTGGGAACTTTGGAATTCACAATTTGCCATTGCCAGACATTCATAATGTTTAACCATGCCGAATTGTTATCATTTTTTTTTTTTTGAATTATTTAATTTTATTTTTTTAGTATTTTATCTTTGTACTAATGGACCACAATGAAAACCGCTCACAGTTTTTACAGTAAAGTTTGTTTAGTTAGTGAAGGAGTTATTGCAATATACTAAAATGGGTTAAAACACTACTGTAACAGATACAATGCGTTCATAATATTGCTTAACTGGTCTTAGTCGGAATGATGAAGGCTTCAAAACTTGTTCGACAAAATTAAAAAGTCACATTGTTTTTTATTACGGGAGTTATTTTTTCAAGAAATGGAAAGACCTAACAAGGTTTATTAGTATTATCATTGCTTTATCTATCCTTTAGTCTTTAGGTTTCCATTTTGTACTTGATTTTTTGCAATAACTGTCATCATTACGACCTGAAGAAAAGCAGGTCATCGTTTCTTTCGTTTTCAACCACCTTTAGGTGATTGGAAACCCCCTCCTTAAATATTATTTGATATTTGTATTATATTTTGTTAAAATACTGCCTACTCGCGAATAACTGGCATCACCCCTCGACGGGTTTTCACTATATAAAATTTAGTGTAAACCTCTTTCAAACCAAACACCTGTATTCTGACTGGTACCAGCTTTAGACTGTTAAAAACAAATTTGACAGGAGATAACATAACTTTAAAACTGTCTCGCCTCGTCGCTTCGCAGAACTTAGAGAACATTTTACATAGTAACACTACCCAGTCGCTTTCAATTGCCAAATGTCTATATCTCTGTAGATATCAATTCCAACCTGTATTAAAATCGATTATTTCCTTACAAATGCAGCTTTAGTCGCATTTACATTTAAATTCTAGAAATGATTTAAAGTTCAAGATTTGATGATGCACTATATATCGTTTCAATTCTTATTTAGTAATTAGGCTCGTCGGATTAAAGATATATCTTTACTTTATATATATTTAAAGCATAAACTTTTATTCGCTAACGTCGCTACACAAACAAAAGTGTCATTGTACAAGCAGATGTACGAATTAAATTCTGTCTATAAATGTCCATACCTGAGAAAATAGTTGTTTCCTACCATGCTAGTGACATGAAAACCACCGAGGCAAATATCCTTACTCAGACTGACACTGAGATCCACCCTAAAAATGACATTTTTACTTGGATCTTTTCACAAAGCATCTTTACACTAGGTCGACATCCGCAACTTCAAAACAATCCAGCCGGACAAACGCGGACTTGTCTTAAGCCTATTAATATTTAATGCATCAAAACGAAGCGTTGCAATTTTGTGGGCGGTGGTTAAATCTAATATTTTGTGCACGAATGGTGATCATCACTACAATTTAATCAAGAGCGAGGAACGCAGTCTTTTAAAATGGCGAGAAAAGTTGTCCAGAAAAACCAAAATGCTGTACCAGGTGGCTTTAACATGGGAATTGTAGTGGAATTTATAATATTTCTCCTTTTACAAGGTTTTGATATTTACTGTAACTATGGCGTCTACTTTGAATCTTCAAAATCGTCGGCAACGTATGAAGAATTTGCCTCGCTGCTGGTATCTAACAACGCAACTAAAAAAGCAGCAGGGAGAAACCTTACAGTTTTGCCTTTGGAATTCTGCTCCAGTTCACTATTTGATACTAAAAAAACCAACGAACTGCTTGACCAATATGGAACCACAGTTGAAATCTACTTGACTTTTACAATTGTTGCGACAATTATTTTCTGTCTTCACTTTCTACTGTGGGTTTCAACCATTGCGTTTTCACTTATGACAGCCGATTTTCTGCAAGAGAATTGGGATATTTTGGTTAAGGGAAAGATCGTGTTTACTCTGGCTGCAAACTTCTTGCAGGACATTCCATGTTCCACTATTGCGATTGAACTGTACCTTCTTAGAAGGGGTACTGGTGGATTAATATGTTGGCAGTGTTCAGTGGACCCAGATTGCAAAACTGTGGACTACCTTGAAACGCTTCTAGCTCCAAGCTCCCAGGCCTTGACTTTGCTTATTTTAGCCATTTGCCTGACAACTTTGTGGAAGGCAATTTCCTCCTTCTTTCGATGGAGTCGTGCAGACGAATGTGATGTCTTCATAATCCGAGCTACAACATCTCTGTTCGCAGGCTTTCTTTATGCCTGTATCATAATGACACCTGCTATGACAATTTTGAAGTACCGATACTTTACTTTACCGGGCGTGACTCCCGGATTTTTGGCGGACTTGGTAGATAAGTTGTTTATCATAGGGGCCCTCTTTTGGTCGATTGGAATATTAACAGTGTGTTGTTGTCCACTTCTGCGCTTGATTAGACTTGCGCAATAATCTCAATATTTTGAAATATATTTGTTCATTAGGAAAATTAACTCGTTTTAGTCAATAATAATATACTAATATAATGAAATGAGTACTTATATTACATTTCATACAATAAGCAGACCGAGTATGTTATGTAATAATATGAGTGTTGGTTGCCAACTTCGGCGTTCTATTCAAATTCACTGTATATCGAAAGTTAAACTGTTTTCTTTCTCAGAGTTAATGTTAACTTGATTGTGATTGCATCACTTATTCCATTGTAAAACTAGTCAAGACTAAAAATGGATAATCGAGAATACTCAAAACTTGGCTATTCTAGCGACAGCAGCCCAAGCAATCGTTTATATTTCACACCACAATAAACAACGGAGCTTTTTTATTGCACTTTGTTCCCAGCTGAAAATAATTTAATTTTACTATTATACCAGCCGTATTTGAGAACGGATTTTAATATTTACGATCTTACAATTTATGCTTCGCGAATTTGACATTAATAAGGAGAATAAAAAGGACTCAATATGATGCTAAAAAAAATTATAACTGAATCGAATTAAGCACTGTTTTAAGATCGAGATTTGAATCTCGAAATTAAATGAAGTTTCATCTCTTTATTGTGGCATGGATAGCTTGGTCATTTCATGGAAATGAAAACGTACCAATTGTGGAATTGCAGACATTTAATAGGCCGACTGTCCTCTTTAAATTGATCATTTTACTTCTTTAATCAAATAAATCTCTTAAAGATCCGATAGCTAATAGTTTAATAGAAGAACAATTGCTAAAAATGTTAAAAGCTCTTGTTCTTCCTGTATAAAATATTAATCATAAAATGAGTGAAAACAATGGTTTTGGCAACGTAGCCACAAATTTGATGAAACCTTCTACAGTGTATAAATTTGTTAAACCACAATAAATTTATCTCACAACTTTATTTGAAATCTCTCTTCAATTTAAAAATCTTGGCTTAACCAACGATAAGCAATTCTCAGTACTTTTGCCTTTCTACTGTGCTGCATGCTTCTCTGAATGCTTATCAAATTACATGCGTTGATATTTTACTAACGACATTCCTCCGCAATGTGAGTTTAATTGCTGGCAAACTCGTAAACGACGTATAATTCCTTAAATGCAGAAGCAAAAGGAATAGAAACTAAACTGGATCAATCACGGTCATTTAATTTCTAATACAAACCCAGCAACTAGGATCTGAATATGAGTATCAGCAGCCCTTTTATGGACAGAGGCCTGTTACCGTTTCTTGAGAATTTATGTAATTTTAATTGATTTCTTTGTTTCGAAGTCAAAAATACTCTCTGAATGATTTGAAGAAACAATACTCTTTAAACGATACACAAGTCTTCCCCATTTCTGTTTCCTTTGCAAAAAAAGCCGCCTTTTAAAAAAGCTCGTTCAATTAACAAACGCTATGTTTAATTGGCAATAAAAAAGGTACGCAGTTCATGCATAGACGTGTGAAAAGTTTACAAGCTTTGCAGTTTCAGGTAATTGAAACTTAACACCTATAAACTGTGTAATTAATTGCCTGATTCTTAGGACTTACCCTTTTAAACCTTTCTGAATGGGTTCAGTTGTCAAGAAATCACTGCTTCTGCCAGAACGTCAGCATCGCGAAGGATTGAAGCGTCATTGAATATCGCGGTCTTTGGAACCTGTAGCTTCTCACCAATTTATATTTTGTGATTCAAATAAGAAATGTATAATTCATAGCGTTACAGCAGTAAGATTTTAAGACTTTTTTGGTTTTCCTATCCTCGGAGAATTCAAATTTTCCCCACGATTTACCTTGACTCTTTTTCACAAATTCAGACCTCAACGCGGTTCCAACTTTTGAGTTTCCAAGTTGAAAACTTCACATCGTTTATCTGGGCTAAACAAATCCCAATATCTTGGAAAATGTTCCATCTTTTATGTGTTTCCCTGATGTATTTCTGTATGTATTTCCAATACAATTTCATGAGAGTTTTGTTTTGAATTTTTCGGATTCTTAGGATTTCGTGGATAATCTCAACTTTATGAATTTATGATTCATAATCACGCCAAAGCCCGGCCCACGCATCGAGCAAATTAGTTAAAAAACAAGATTATACATTGCTTTACTGACCTTAATGTTAGAGCCAGAAAAATTCACTCTCATTTAAGTCGACTTTGACTTACCCACTTTGATAACAATCATAACAACAATTTTGCGTTGTGGTTAAAGTATTCATCTGTTGTCAGTAGTTACATATTATATCGACTCGTTTTGCTCGTTTGTAAGTTTCTTATCTTTTTTTTTAAAGAAAATTTATTCAAAAAGAACACTAACATTAACACAATTATCAACAAGATGGAGAGAAAAAAATACAGACTTACAGCATTTAGCGTCAAGTTAAGTTCGTACTTAAATCAACAAGGATTGCCTTTGTGGCACATATAGACAACTGAAAAAGTCAACAAGCTTATATCTATATAAAAGAAGTTTTTTTCCTCCGTATTTATTACTGCAGTCTTCACAGTGCTTACAAAATGACACTAACAAAGACTTGCTTACAGGTTGTAATTAAAAATAAGTTGACAATAACACTGTCTAACTATTATGCAATGTGCTTTGCTTGAAATATTTATATGAATAAAGACGAGACTGACAGAAAATTATCATGGCAATTGAGCTTTTTTAGCCTAATCTGCCCATACGCAAACGGCGTTCTCAGGCACCAAAAACGCTGTCTTGTCGTTTTCCTGTGGACGAACGAAAAAGGAAGTTTTCGGATAGGATGATGTCATTCATCGAGTCCACTCGTATTACGCCCGCTGAGCATGCGTAATAAAAGTGGACTCTACGCTACGCATGACGCGTATTTACGGAGAAAAAAGCAATTGGTTTTTAAAAGCATCCATTGCTAGACCTAAGAAAAAAAAAATGGAACAGGCTGGGTGAAGCCGGCAAACCTAATACAGCCAGAGCCGAGGGCAAAATTCTCGTGAATTAAGCATTTAAAAATATTAAGTATTTTCTCGGGTTATTGCAGGTAGCAATTTCTTGAAATCCCTCTTTGATCGCAAAAATGATTACAGCTCATATCAGTTTGGCATCATCTAGGCTTCGAGAAATAAGTTTCAGTATCGAAATCATAGGCTGCGTTCTATCGAGGTAAAGTGCCAAAGGCTAGGTATGTACTTGCCTCCCTCGCTGCCGTTTTTAGTATAACGTCACGCAACGCTCCTAGGAGCGTTGCGTGACGATACTAAAAACGGCTGCGAGGGAGACTAGGTATGTACATGTACTGTATGTAATATGTCTTGCTTACAAAGCTCGCAATTGAGCTTGGATAAAATTAATGACTTGAAAGCGCTTCTTTAGCTCCAAGGTAGTTTGTGCAGAGATCATGATAACTGGCACGTGCGTCATTCTGGCGGGCCACAATAAAAACTACTCTGGTTTACCGGTAATTGTGTTCCTCCAATTAAGTTTTTTTTTTATTAACCTTGTTTTTGCGACGTCCGCCTGTTACGGGTAAGTTACTGAATTGATTTCCAAAGAAGAGGCGGACTTCAAGAAGTCTCATTGAAACACCAGAGACAAGCTTACATGTCATTGTCGTGGTTACTGCGTCACCCGTATTAAATTCAGCAAAGGACAGCAAAAAATTACAGCAAGAACCAAGACCCAAAATATCGCACCGATAATATACACGCGATCGATGATATCCTTCAGCAATCCCCCACTTACGTCTGGTTTAATAAAATAGCGGTATTGGAGAACTGTCATAGCTGGTGTTAGGATGACAATGAAGAAAAGACCACCAGCAAACACGGCTGTACAAGCTCTGAAATAGAACGCCTCGCAATAATTCACTCGACTCCATCGATAGAAACTTGAGATGCCTTTCCAAAGAGACGTGAGACCGATGGCTGCCAAGTTGAGCCACATAGCAACGGTACTCCTGTTTAGCCTAGCTTCCAGCTGCTTAACATCTTGGCATGACCCTGACACTTTACAACTCCAGCATATCAAGCCTTGTCCACCTTGCTGCACAGAAAACAGCTCAGCGGAGATTGCAGAGAGTGGAATGTCTTGCAGCAGGCTAGCGGTGATAAGAAAATACACCTTCATTCTGATTAAAGTTTCTTGGGTATCTGCGTTAAATCGTCGACTTCTAAGTGAACGCTGGAGGGTATACAACCAAGCCAATAAGTGCAAAGTAAAGATACACACTGAAACCGCAAGGAAAAATGAATAAACGTAAATTACCGAAGAGAAATGGTCAATCTCCTGTGTCATCTTTTCTTTTGACCATTGTACATCGACACAAAAATCTGGAACGGAATAGTTTAGTGATGTTACGTTTGTGTAAACTTCGTACGTTTTCGCTCTAGATTGAACTCCAACTGACTCGCTCAAGACCCAAATGTTACTGATCAAGTCAAAACCCTGTAGTAGTAGAAAGATGATGAATTCTGAAAGTAAGCCTTTGTTAAAGCCCGCTATTTTGGCACCATTTTTACCTGCCATGTGTTGGACAGTGCTAGAACGACGCCGCTTCTTCCCTTTTCCTTTCCCAGCTTTGCTACTTTCGAACTTCCGTTTCTGTCTTTCCTGAAGTATATCCGTGGCTACAGATTCCGCGTAGTCTTTTATTACACCTTGATCAGCGAATCTAACTGATTTCGACATTTCTCAGAAGAGCGTAGAAGCACGAATAATTCCAGGCTTCCTTTTAAACGTTTACAAAGGACCAGAAGTTTTTCCTCAAAGGTTTAGGTGGAGAAAATTTGCGGTTAACGACTCTTGTCTTTCCCGCTGATTTTTTGTTTTACCGCAAGTTGCCCTCGACGACTGAATTCACCATTTGGAGCTCAGGGAAAAATTAGAGAGATGGTTGGTAAGACAAAACGACGCAGAAATTTGGTACGTAAGGAGTTGTAGTTGGTTCAAATGATTATTCTTATAATCACAATATTCGTTTGAGGTCATTAAAACTGCATCTTTCTTAAGTGAGCAAATGTCAAGGAAAAACGAATCGGATCAACATCGTTTCGGAATCGGTTTCTGAAGCTGTAGCATTCACATAATCCCCATTCCAGAGAATCTGGACACCTGAAAGGTTTTCTGCCGATTGAGAAAAAAAGACCGAGTCATCTAAAATGAGTGTTTTCAAAAACAGGTACGCTTGTATACATAATTTAATAATCTGACAGCTGAAAACCTGAACTCTCTTAGCGCAATGATTTCATGTTGCGGGTGGTACATTTGCAGACACTTTGGTAACAACGTCTCATTGGTTAAGATAAGTTAGAAATTTAAATGAGCAACCTTCATATTTGGCAGCATACCTAACTGTTTGGCGTCTTTAACTACAATGATCTCTACATTTAGTTTTGCTTTCATTCCGCGATTGAGATAATATGTCCGTCACTTTTATCTTTGATGGCAAATAATGATAAATTTAATGACCAACTACATACTGGCTTGGCTTGCTTGCCCAATTGGTTAGAGCGCTGTACCGGTATCACAGAGGCCGGGGTTCGAACTGGAAAGCGAGAATTTCCCAGGCTTTCTTTTAGCAACTGCACAAATTGCGTCATATGTCCATCGAGCCCCAGTTGTTCAAAAGGTTGATAGCGCCATCCACCGGATAAATCACCATACAGTGGATAGCACAATTAGTTTTCGTAATACCTATCCAACGGGTAGGGATTTATCCGGTGGACAGCGCTATCCAACTTTTGCACAACCGCTGGCTGTAAGGTATTCGAATAGGCAATTTTGATACATTAAAATTTATTCTTGGCTCCGAGTCTTGGGGAATAAAACAAGGGAAATCCCTTGTAGGTATAGGGTAAATTCACTTCTTTTGTTTTATTCCTTAAAGCCCCGGAGCAAAGTATGGATACCTGAATTTCGACTGTCCCGACGTTGTGATGAAATGGTTTTAATTGCTTGGGAAACCGTTGTGAATTAAAACAATAGAATGATGTAGAATGTTCTAAACATTTCATCTTGGCGTCTACTTCGAACAACAATATCACCGAGGGCCAGCGGGAGCTGACTTCGTCGCACACGGTCCGATAGACGTATTTTTTTTTTCCTTTGGTGGCCAACTAGACGTAATCGGCACCCAAAATAGATTTAGGTTACGTTCTCTTGCGGTTGAACGCTTTGGGCACCTTGTCTCAGTCAAAATTGTTGGGATACTTTTCGGTCTTCTTGCCCTCCCAATGTTGATGTGCAAGATTTGGTGAGGTAACTGCGATAAACAACATTAGGAGGACGAGGAGACGGGGGAAAAAAGTAAAAAAACAGTGTTGGGAGGAAGTGTACCAACTACTTTTGTCTAAGACTGTCGCTTTCTCTAGCCCATCCAACCCACCCCGACTCCGCCACTCTGACTTTAACAGGGCAAAATTATACTGGTTATAAAACTTAAGACGCAATTAAAACGTTCAAAGGGGCAATAACACTTTATTGTGAATTTTGTCTTGACATAAGATTTAACATGTGGAGAACTCTCGGACTGCTATTTGCGGGCTACTATTGTACAAATCTATGTTTTTTAAACCTAGTTTTCTCAAAATCTATTACGAAGCCATGAACCACTTTAATTCTTAGGACAAAACAGGTCCAAAACCGTATTTTACAAGGAAACGTTTATTCTACAAATTAAAAAGTGTTTTGTGTGCCACCTTTAGACCTTTGACTCTTTAGACAGATTCAGGCAGACTTGAAACGTTCCTGATTTATATTTGACGGTCTTGTCTTATTATGGTACAATGCAGTTCATTATTCTTTCAAACTAGCACAAGCATTCGTGCAGTAGTAGTATATCCGTACTTTTAGGCAGCTTTGAGAGGGATGGATATCGACCCTTTATTGAACGTAGTCTGCTCTGATCATGTCTAGTTTATGTTGAATACTATTCAGCCTGACTATTCAGTGAATTTTTGTTAAGAACGATCTTCTATATACAGCTACATACATAAACAACAAGTAGCCTTGCTCGCTGCACATTACAATCACATTGACATGCCATACGGTGCAATAACGATCGAAATATCCCCTTCACTGTAAACTATTTGTTGTCAAATCGTCCACATGCCCACACATAATAACTTCAGCAGTCTATAACATGGACACCTCATTATTAACGGCAGTTCTTTTGGATCCTAAGTTGTATAACTTACTAGAATTCCTATCTTAAATAATACAGACAGTTAGCTCTGTCATCTCGGTATCGGTATTAAGAAGGCACCGGGCTGTGCTGTTAAATTATGGACACTAATAATAATAGAAAAAGAGAATTTACATGTAGTGTGCCCAAAATAATAGTAATAATAATAATTTTTTAGTAATAATAATATACATGAAAAAATTTATCGATTTTGATTGGCTAAGAGGAATGCAGTTTTTAGATAACACAGTGCAGAAAAAAGGCAATTGAGTGCAGAAAAAAGGTAATTAAGTGCAGAAAAGAGTAACAAACGTGACATTCTGATTGGCTAGTAAACAAAGGAACACACTGAGAGCCAATCAAATGCGCCATCTAAATGGCGCAAAATTTGGATCCGGTCCGGACAGGTTTCGAGCAAAAACCGCAATGGTTGGCGATTGCAGCACATTTGCTTTTGCGACCGAAACAACTGTAGAGGAGCTGAAAAACTGCTCTAAAAACGAAAGCACTGCGAAAAGCACTGGTTTTTGGCTCTCTTTTTAGAAGAATTGGTGCGTAGGTAAGGAAATTACTGATGAAATAGAAAATTATGAGCTGGCTGAGCATAACACTTTGCTCGAGCATTTCTACGCCGAAGAAAACAATACAAAAAAGGTGAAGATTATGAACCAGAAAGCCTTAAAGAAATGAAGGCGTCGCTTGATAGACACTTAAAGAACAAAGGCTGCACCCTGTCCATTGTACGTGACCGAGAATTTAGTTCGTCCAAAGAGGTGTTGGAGGAAAAAGCGAAACAGCTTCGCTTGGCTGGCCGTGGTAAGCGCCCAAACAAAGCTTGGCAAGTATCAGAGGAGGAAGAAGTAATTCTCTGGAAGAGCGGTAAACTCGAGGTAATAACCCAGAATCTTTATTTCAAACACATTGAACAATTCCATGAACTGTTCAGCCCGTTTCTGCAGCTTGCAAACTTTAAAAACATCGAGCAAAATGTTGTTTTGACTGCACGTGTGATGGTATTTGCAGCATTTGAATAATCTATTTTTGCACTTAGTTTACGCGGGTTGACTCCCTATTAAAGGGATTTTAAAGCTATCTCGCAATTTTTTCATGAATATTATTAATAAGTAATCACCTGATTTTTCCGTGCAATTTGGAATAAATGAACACTCGTAAATTTTTTCAAAGACCACAAATTGCACTCGCCCTACGGGCTCGTGCAATTTTGTTAGCCTTTGAAAAAATTTACTCGTGCTTATTTATTCCAAATTGCACTCGAAATCATGTGATTACCTGTACTACTACTAATAATAATTTAATAAACAACAACAAAAAACAAGTTTTACAAAGTTCGGTACTTAAAAGGTATATGTGTTTGCTGCTTTGGCTCCAAGGGGCTAAAAATTCTACTTTTAAAATACAGTTGACTACCGATAACTTGAACCCTCGCTAACTCGAATCAAAATCGATTTTCCCTGGATTTCCGTCATACATTTACTGTAATTTGACCCTCGGTAACTCGAACCCTAATACTTAATACATACTTTATTAATATATATCACACACTGGAAGAAAAAATACACAAGAACAGCCAAAGCCGGGGGCTTAAATGGCCTGAGGTCAGCAAAAAAAAGACGTGAAGAATTTACAGGAATAGAAGAAGGCTTTAACTAAAATAATTACAATACAGTTAAATCAAGAAAGGAAAGGTCAGTCAGAAAAAACTTACAACTGAAATACAATACTTGGCAATTAATTTCAAATATTTAAACAACTAATAATTCCTATAAACCACACAAACAAATACAAACAAATACACGTAGTATAGTCCCATAAGGTGTACAGATTATGGGTAGGCTAATTAGCTACTCAGAAAAATACAGTCTTAAGGTTTTTGTAAAGTTACTTACTGTGAGATTATTGCGCACAGTTAACGCAATATCATTCCAAAGAATAGGAACTTGCCAAGTGATAGCAAATTGATACTTATGATGATGCAGATTAAAACGTGAACGAGTCATATAATCGTGATATTCAGAATTAAAAGGAAGGATCGAGGAAACAGGAGTAGGTAAAAGGCTAGTAACCCTCGATAACTCGAGCCTTCCGCTAAATCGAAGTAGTTTTCGTTTCCCATATTTTTAGCCCTTAAGAAGTCGCGTGAAAAAAACAGTCTACTAGCGTCCGAAACATTGAATTTTGAATTTCCCATTGACGCGTTGTAGGCATATAGTTTACCAGTCGAGGCCGATGTTGTTTGTCACAAATCTAACGTGAAAAAGCTTTGCTTCTCAAAATAGTAAAACTGCATGCTCTATTTAGGCAATGCTTTGTTAGGTTACGTTCTGGTTTACATGTACAATCTAGAAGTATCTTTCAATTTCCACTTAAGATTTCTACAATTAAATGTGATTAAAATGTTCACTTTGCAGTAAAAACTGTTTTTTTCCCTTATTTCCAACTATTGTCTTCGAGCTCCGGATAACTCGAACTACAGATGGCTCGAGCTTTTTTCGATTTCCTTTGAAGGTTCCAGTTATCTTTAAGTCTACTGTACATGAACACTAACAAGACACTAGCTCTGTGACAACACTGCCCCTTCTTTATTGGGGAGTGGTTAACATGACCTCTCATACGCCAGACAGAGGATGCGAGATAGCAAGGTACCGGTAGAGACTACATAGTAGTACTAGAAAAATAATAACAGTGCCTCTCCTTCTTATAACCATGGGCCAACTACATGTACGTACAAACATGTATAAATAGCTCTAAAAGACATGTTAAACTATACTCTAAGAATCTCCAAGTTATTGTTATAACAGATGCCAATCCAGTCCGGCTAAGTGCTTGCCCATTGAATTTGATTGATTTCTCCATAGATCAGCTGTGTAGGAGCAGGTCACATTATTTTCATTCTTCGGCCAAAGATATACCCCTAATGAGTCCCCTTTTTTTCAATGATGTTTTGAAACACAATAAGAGACACGGGAAAACTTCTCTTTATTAAAAAAAAAACACTGGCGACATTATACTATACATTTACAAAATTCACAGTTTAAAAGTCTCAGGTTAATTCGCAAAAAATGATGAGAGTTATATGCTGCTGTTCCTGTAGAGATACGTTTCTCTCGTAATAAGGTCTTAAAGAGCGTAGAATATAATAATGTCACTCTTCAGTAGGGAATTTATCGTCAAACGTTTACGCTCATTTTTATTCCAACACCTGGATACAATGATTTGTAAAGTCACACACAACTACTTTACCATCGCTAAGGACTGCTGTCGAAAATGCTCCCTCGAACTCTCCTTTTCAGCTACCGTGCCTACCAAACCAAGTCAAAAACTTTCTGCTAATTTTAAATACCTCTACTCCGTGCTGCATATCACAGACCATCAGATCTCCTACTTTGTTTACTGATAAGCAACGGGGAGATATTAACGCCCTATTTCTATCCTCCATAGGACCAAATTTTTATATATACCTTCCTTATATATACATATACCTTCCTTCCTCTACTCCGTGCTGCATATCACAGACCATCTATATCAGATCTCCTACTTTGTTTACTGATAAGCAACGGGGAGATACTAACGCCCTATTTCTATCCTCCATATGACCAAATTTATACATATTATACCTTCCTTCCTTATAAAAAACTTTAACACCTTCTGCATCCCCGTCGGGCACAACAAGATAGTTGTCATATTGAATACAGTGAAAGGGATGCCTGATAATATTTTTAACAATTTTGCGCAAAAATTGGTCCCAAGGGGAAAAGATCTTAACCGATCTGTTTTCTCAATCAGCAACAATAATATTGCCTTCACAGTCTACTGACAAACCAAGGGGACGCTTAAGTTGGTGGTCAAGATCTCCTTCGCCTCCAAACTGGCCGACGAACTTACCCTCTGCGCTTAAGACTTGAACTCGGTGATTATTACGATCCGCCACTACAATGTTATTGTTATGAAAAACAATCCCAGTAGGTTCGTCAAATTGTCCCTTTTGATCACCTTTGCTACCAAAAGATCTGACAAAAGACCCATCGCTACGGAAAATGAGTACTCTGTGGTTCATCCTATCAGTCACTGCTATTTCATTTCGTTCACTATTTACTGAAACCCCCCAGGGACTATTAAATCTTCCAAAGGACGAACTCTCCTCCCCAAAAAGCAACACAGGTTTGAATTGTCTGGGTTTGACTTGAACCTTAAAAGGACTGCCTTGAACATGTTCTCCATTTACCATTACCGATACATCGCATGCCCCTGCTTCATTGGCCAAGTAACTAATTTTATAAGTGCCATCTCTTTTATCTACGACCTCTGCTTTTGTGACACAGTTACGTCCTTGGCTGTTCCTAATTTCCACTTTCACAAAGTCACGCTCTTTGTAGCACTGAACTCCACCAGCGGTTCGTGTTGTCACAACAATTGGTGCTCCGAGTCCTTCCGTTGCCTCATAAATCCCCTTTCCCTCGGCAGTTGATTGTTGTCCTGACGTTTTGGAAAGAAAACTTCTGAATGATCCAATCCCTCCAACACTAAGTTTTTCCATTAAACTTTCGTTTTGCATAAAAGCAAAGTGGCGCATATCTTCAAGGACACGGTCGACTTGCTTTTCCTCTTTACAGTCTCCTTCCTGAAACACTGTGTTAGTGTCTAATTGTGCAATCTCTGCATTTGTGCTTCGTTCCAAGAGTTGTTCCGTTTTTCCAATTTGAGTCTCAATGACTTTAACTTGACTTTCCACTTCACACTCTTGAGTGTTTAGGAGCTGTAGAAATTGTTTCGCCCTATTTTCCACGTCAATAAACAGTTCCTGCTTTTTCGCCTCCAGAGCAACGATTATACTGTCAACAAACATCTGAATGTCTTTGTTAACTCTTTTGACCTGAACTTCAATGTTATCACAGTTAGCCCGAATTTTAGCAATTTTTGCCCACTTCTGAATCACTCTTTCTTTCTGGGATTCAATTGCAGCTTTGACATGTAATTTGCGCTCATTCGCAGCTTCGTCCAGAAGCATCTTGGGATGACCTTCATGAAGTATTGCAACGCATGAATAACAAATGGCAACTTCACAGCTTCTGCAAAAGAACTCCAGTTCCTTCTTTCCGTGGCCAGGCACTCCACAAAACGCTGGCTGCTTTAAAATGTTCTCAAAGTCTTGGTCTTTAAAGTCCTTCAGTGCCAGAGCATGGTGTTCTTTATTGGCTCTGATGCCATTATGCAAACCGATACAGTCATCACACCAAAATGCACAGCACTGGAAGCAGTAAAAGCTGTGCTCACTCTTTTTATCGCAATTTTCACACTCAACAGCGGTTGTATCGCACTCCTTTATGGCCAGAATGTCGAGTAGGTTGTTGATGCGAACGTTTGTTGGCAAAGCACCGAGGTTTCCATTTCCAGGGACTCTGAAATCCTGTCTGCATTCAGGGCACGCCACCACATTTGGGTTTGCACTTGATTGTTGAATCCCGTTCAAGCAATGAAGGCAAAAACTGTGTAAGCACGGCAGCTGCTTTGGATCAGTAAACTTGCGCACACACACAGAACAGGATACTTCTTCATGAAGATTAACTAGCAAAGTTTTAATATCCATTTTGACTGGAAGGGCGGAAACGACGAAGGGCGGCAGTTTTGCTTGAGTCTTCAAGTCTCGGATCAATGGCACGACATTGTAACGAACTTATGTCATCAACCAATAATTATGTGTTTATTGTGACATGTTTTGGAGACGTCTGCCTTAAGACTGATTTATTATCATTGTAGAATATTCTGGATTTCTACAAAGTTTGGTCACGATTCATAGCGTAACCACAAAACGCTCCTTTCATTCGCGAGAGGAATGCGAGCTGCGCTCTTAGATTATGTGTTTCTATGGGTCTAATTTTAACTGTGCGTACTTTTAGGTGCTCACTATGAAGGTGGGATATTGATGTACTGCGGAATTCATAATCACCACACAGACCCACTATTATGTAGTGCATCTAGGGTGTCAAGCAGCTTATCGGCTACGACGGGCGGAAAAAACCCTTTGTTTTACAAAGCATCCAGTGCTAGAACAGGCTGGGTGGAATCACAGGGCGCCCACACAATCTGTTTGTGTAGCCGATTGTTATTTTATAGTAAATGTACTGGATTTACCGTTTGCTTCACCTATAGCGATATATCGCTAACTATGTATATAAATCAATGATAAATAAACGTTGAATTACCTTACCTGTGCTATATAGTCGTCCTTTTACCTCAAAACCGGTTTTTTGAGCGATTTTGAATGAATTTGAGTTCGCCAATGATCTCTACATTTAGTATTGCTTTCATTCCGCGATTGAGATAATATATCCGTCACTTTTATCTTTGATGGCAAATAATGATAAATTTCATGACCAACTACATACTGGCTTGGCTTGCTTGCCCAATTGTTTAGAGCGCTGCACCAGTATCACAGAGGTCGGGGTTCGAACTGGAAAGCCAGAATTTCCCAGGCTTTCTTTTAGCAACTGCACAAATTGCGTCTTTATCTGTCCATCGAGCCCCAGTTGTTCAAACGGTTGATAGCGCCATTCACCGGATAAATCACCATCCAGTGGATAGCGCAATTAGTTTTAGTAATACTTATCCAACAGGTAGGGATTTATCCGGTGGACAGCGCTATCCAACTTTTGCACAACCGCTGGCTGTAAGGTATTCGAATAGGCAATTTTGATACATTAAAATTTATTCTTGGCTCCGAGTCTTGGGGAATAAAACAAGGGAAATCCCTTGTAGGTATAGGGTAGATTCACTTCTTTTGTTTTATTCCTTAAAGCCCCGGAGCAAAGCATGGATACCTGAATTTCGATTGTCCCGACGTTGTGATGAAATGGTTTTAATTGCTTGGGAAACTGTGTGAATTAAAACTATAGAATGACGTAGAATGTTCTAAACATTTCATCTTGGCGTCTACCTCGAACAACAATATCACCAAGGGCCAGCGGGAGCTGACTTCGTCGCACACGGTCCGATAGACGTACTTTTTTTTTCCTTTGGTGGCCAACTAGATGTAATCGGCACCCAAAATAGATTTAGGTTACGTTCTCTTGCGGTTGAACGCTTTGGGCACCTTGTCTCAGTCAAAATTGTTGGGATACTTTTCGGTCTTCTTGCCCTCCCAATGTTGATGTGCAAGATTTGGTGAGGTAACTGCGATAAACAACATTAGGAGGACGAGGAGACGGGGGAAAAAAGTAAAAAAACAGTGTTGGGAGGAAGTGTACCAACTACTTTTGTCTAAGACTGTAGCTTTCTCTAGCCCATCCAACCCACCTCGACTCCGCCACTCTGACTTTAACAGGGCAAAATTATACAGGTTATAAAATTTAAGACACAATTAAAACGTTCAAAGGGGCAATAACACTTTATTGTGAATTTTGTCTTGACATAAGAAATTTAACATGTGGAGAACTCTCGGACAGCTATTTGCGGGCTACTATTGTACAACTCTATGTTTATTAAACCTAGTTTTCTTAAAATCTATTGCGAAGCCATGAACCACCTTAATTTTTAGGACAAAAGAGGTCCAAAAACGTATTTTACAAGGAAACGTTTATTCTACAAATTATCTAGTGTTCAGTGTGCCACCTTTAGACCTTTGACTCTTAAGACAGATTCAGGCAGACTTGAAACGTTCCTGATTTATACACTATATTTGACGGTCTTGTCTTATTATGGTACAATGCAGTTCATTATTCTTTCAAACTAGTACAAGCATTCGTGCAGTAGAAGTATATCCGTACTTTGAGGCAGTTTTGAGAGGGATGGATATCGACCCTTAATGAACGTAGTCTGCTCTGATCATGTCTAGTTTATGATGAATACTGTTCAGTGAATTTTAGCTAAGAACGATCTTCTATATACAGCAAAATACATAAACAACAAGTAGCCTTGCTCGCTGCACCTTACAATCACATTGACACGACTTATATGTTCCAATAACGATCTAAATATCCCCTTCACTGTAAACTACTCGTTGTCAAATCGTCCACTTGCCCACACATAATAACGTCAGCAGTCTATAACATGGACATCTCAGTGTTAACGGCAGTTCTTTTGGTTCCTAAGTTGTATAACTCACTAGAATTCCTATCTTAAATAATACGGACACTTAGCTCTGTCATCTCGGTATCTGTATTAAGAAGGCATGGCCGTACTGTTAAATTATGGACACTAAAAATAATAGAAAAAGAGAATTTACATGTAGTGTGCCCAAAATAATAATAATAATAATAATAATAATAATAATAATAATAATAATAATAATAATAATAATTTAATAAACAACAACAAAAAACAAGTTTTACAAAGTTCGGTACTTAAAAAGGTATATATGTTTGCTGCTTTGGCTCCCAAGGACTAAAATTTTATTCTTTAAATACAGTTGACTCCCGATAACTTGAACCCTCGCTAACTCGAGCCAAAATCGATTTTCCCTGGATTTCCGTCATACATTTACTGTAATTTGACCCTCGGTAACTCGAAGCCTCGATAACTCGAACGTCCCGCTAAATCGAAGTAGTTTTCGCTTCCCATATTTTGAGCCCTTAAGAAGTCGCGTGAAAAAAACAGTCTACTAGCGTCCGAAACATTGAATTTTGAATTTTCCATTGACGCGTTGTAGGCATATAGCTTACTAGTGGAGGCCGATGGTGTTTGTCACAAATCTAACGTGAAACAGCTTTACTTCTCAAAATAGTAAAACGCATGCTTTATTTAGGCAATGTTTTGTTACGTTACGTTCTGGTTTACATGTACAATCTAGAAGTATCTTTCAATTTTCACTTAACATTTCTACAATTAAATGTGATTAAAATGTTCACTGTGCAGTAAAAACTGTTTTTTCCCTTATTTCCAACTATTGTCTTCGAGCTCCGGATAACTCGAACTACAGATGGCTCGAGCTTTTTTCGATTTCCGTTAAAGGTTCCAGTTATCGGACGTCGACTGTACATGAGCACTAACAAGACATTAGCTCTGTGACAACACTGCCCCTTCTGTATTGGGGAGTGGTTAACATGACCCATCATACACAAGCCAGAGGATGCGAGATAGCAAGGTACCGCTAGAAACTACATAGTAGTACTAGAAAAATAATAACAGTGCCTCTCCTTCTTATAGCCAGGGGCCAACTACATGTACGTACAAACATGTATAAATAGCTCTAAAAGACATTTTAAACTATACTCTAAGAATTTCCAAGTTATTGTTATAACAGATGCCAATCCAGTCCGGCTGGGTGCTTGCCCATTGAATTTGGTTGATTTCTCCATCGGCTGTGTAAGCTAGGATCGGATCCTCAATGGCTCGAGGCATTTGTTGGATATCCCAGATCAGGGCTTGGTGATCATCTCCTGCAAAACAAATTCATCAACAAAACAAAAATAAAGGCATAACTTTGTGATTAATAATTAATAAATGAGCAGAAAAAAACAAATGAATAAGCTCCTGTGACCAAATTGCCAAAGTTGTCGCCTGCATACAATATACAACGTCTGACTCATTTATGACGCCCACTGTTGGTATAAACTCAAGAATGCTTTCGTCCTGGCTGTTGCGCTCCCGAGTAATCAGATTGCCCTCTTCAGTCTGGCTCCTTACAAAAGGGTCTCATTTTACATGTACCATGGTTCTTGCAGGTAATTCAGAAGGGAAACAAGGTGTGAGTTGAACCTTGCCATCACTGTGAATTTAACCACAATGTACTGGGTCTTTCAAAGTTGTCTGATAGGATTGATCATAATGTTTCATTGAGCTTCAAAGCCGATAAGATTTTCTCCGTCATTACCGTCTGAGTCTCTAGTTCTTGTATTCCATGGAAAGCAGATGACGCAAATTGCTGAATACAATAAAGACTGTCAGCACGTATTTCAAATACTGGAGTTACACAGGGAACCACACGTATACCTTGTACCTCTTTTATTAATTTTTGTTTACTCAAATTGCCTACATTGTGAAAAAAAGAGACGCAAAAGAGACAAGTCGTTAAGCTCATTGATTTCATCTTAAGGAACAACATCTTTGAGAAACGTTTCGCCCAAAAAAAAAAAAAAGACAGATGGCATAAAGCTGGTTTTGAGAAACTCTTCTCTCATTCACCCTTTAAGAATGAGCGATGAATCCTTAAGTATAGAAAACTAAAGAAATACGTGCATATGCCTTCCATTAAAACCTGTGTTTCTTGAGTGAATTATTAAATGTTCACTGTACTTAGAATGAATTGTGATAAACAGTGCACCGATGGATGCTGCTACTGTATTTTAAACAATGTGCAGAGAAACTTAAGAATCGAGGACATTATCAAAAACCGTTCAAAACGTTTTACAACGTACATGTACGACCACTCTCTTTCTGTTGAGTTGTACTGTGCTAGCATCAGGCCATATTGAGATACAGGTGATAGTTGTGGTGAAACAGATGCATGCACAGGGGTGTACATTCCATATTTTCTTAGTGCCAAATTCCAGATGAAATCCATTTGAAAAAGGGTCCTTCATCTACATTTAATTACAGTAACTCCACAAGCCCAGTGTGTAGCGAAAATTTTCAGGTTGAATCTATGACATAGCAACCTGAGGCATGGCTTGTTAACAACCAATTAACAACTTGTGTGATGGCATGACAAGCTCCGTTCTGACTCACACATGTAGTTTTCCTTGACTTCCGCAAGTGCAACCATCAGTTTGGACTTTCATGTGCGACCTAATGACCTAATGACATTTCTTGACTTTCCTGATCTTTAAGGCATTTCAACAAATCTAACAATGTGCTATTTCTTCACAACTTGCATGTCCATGTATGTACAGCTACAATTATCGTTACTATTTTTATTCACCGTGCTCCGCACAAATCAAGGCTGTGCTCTAAGGAAAATTGAAGGGAGCCCAGTGCTCTGAAACTGTAAAATCTAGGGTGCCCAGCATCTGATCAGTATGAAAAATCTGAGATTTTCTTGTCGCCCGAGGGCAAAAGTTAGGTGCCAGGGGCCACCGGGCTCTGCTAGAGCACACCCCTGCAAATGATAACTCGTTATACATGCGGTTTATTCCGAACGGATAGCCTCACACAGACTGGGCTTAAATCGCTTCAAACACAGTCATACACATGTATAAATTATTGTCATGCAGTTGTCACTTCACTAACACTTTGAAGGCTCAAAATACAAATTTATATGCGTAGCTGTATTGTTGAACTCGTTGGGGATAATTACATGTATACAAGATGTCGGATTGATCATGCAGGCAAGTGCAAATGATACATCAACAACTAAGAAGAAATGCACATGGATGGGGACAAGATGGCTGGCACACTTTTGTTCTTGACTTTAGTGCCTACTCATTGTTCATTCTTTAGCTTTGTATGTATGTAATATTTGCTACACTGTACACAAAAACATGTTCAGACATTGAACTAACCTGCAGTACAAATGTGACAAGATGAATGTGGCGCCCATGCAATTCCATTGACACAAGCTCTGTGATTATTTAATCTTGCTACGGGAGTGCATGGTACTCTGACATCTAATATTATCACCTGGATATACCATAAAAAGAAGGAAATAATTTGTATGTACATCACATGCAAACCTGATGTCAAGCGTTCTCACTCTAAAATACCACATGTACATGTACATCTTTTGGTCCAATTTGTTCCTCGGTTTATATTCTTTTGTTTCAAACTCATTAGTACCATGTACATGTGTTACCACAACCAAAAACTAATGAAAATACTGTAAAATTCAAAAAAGGATAAAACTGAAACACATCTGACAGCAAGAATCTAGATTTCATAGCAATGAACACAACATTTTTTACTTCCTGGGAACAAGCCAGCTTTCCACATTTGACTTAAACAATGGGTCCACTACTCTTTCTTGGCTATATCGACGAATTTCCACAATGTTACTGTTACAAATTTATAATTATTTTACATTTTTTACCATGCAAGTTTCAACAAACCTCCATTGCATCCAAAGAGAATGTTGCTAGGTAGTTAGGATCCTGTTTGTTCCATGACAACCTCAGCAGGGGACTGTGCTGTGGATCTTCATAGATTATTGTAGAATGTTCTAAATGTCTGTACATAAAGGAAATAATAATTTGATGTGACATTGTAATAGTTGCATGTACTGTAGACAAGACAAATGTTTTTTTAGCAATCTTGTTAAGATTAACCTTCAGTTGGTACATGCAGATCAAGGAGCAGAAAAGGTCTTTGGGTGCTTTGTAAGATAACAAGCTGCAGCTGAATCATGGTGGGTTGGTGAGCACTAACATTGTACAGTACACAAAAACGGACAGTACATTACCCTCTTACCCATACCCCTACTATCATCTCCAAAAAGGAAAAAAAAAGCAGAGGAAGAAACATTCAAAAAATAAATTTCTGTAAATCCTTGTTGGAGGAGAAGAATACCCAATCACAACCTGTCGCACTGTTCTCACAGGCACTCAGCATTATGGCCAAAATCTGGCCACAGCGGCACACCTTGTATCAGGCCTAATATTAGCAGCTTTCATGTGCTCTCTCTTATGCGGTCCTGCTCCCAGGTTAGGTTACTGCACATAATAATAGCTGCAATTTAAATGCATATCACCTGAGATCGAACATCCTCACAGAACCATCAGCTCCTACTGAAGCAAACATGTCCCTTCCACCACCAGCACGACTAAATGCAATATCATATACCTAAAATACACACACCAAAAAAAACAAGCAATTCACATTACAAAGCTACCACTCCACTGTGACCATTATTATCATGAGGCACTATCATTATCTATAAAACTTTTCCCCACTTCCAACAAGAGTGAAATGCAAAGGTAATTTGTTACAGTTTACTTACTTCTTTGTCATGAGCAATGAGCTGTGTTTTTACATGTCCTGACACCATGTTTACCCTGCCAAGAACTTGACCAGTCTACAAAAATAAAATGTAAATAATATGGATCCATTTACATGTATATATTTTGCATATTCCAGAATTAATCATCAGCCTATGCACAATGCATACGATACCTGTTCCAGACTTAAGTTTTGTTCGGTAAAAACTAAATGCAGTCAGCCAAAAGACAAAGATCACACAGCCTTATGCTATGCAGTATGTGTACATTTACGCCTATACATGTACATACAAGTATAAGATAAGTTTATAAGTGATGTTGTGTTTTTTTACATCAATGTAACATGTTTGTGTACATGGCTGAGCACAGATGATTAACTGTGCCCACCATCTGGTAGGAATACACTGTATTGATGTAAAGCTGTACAATGAAAGGGGAGTTCTACTGGTCAAACCTCTACTAACAGCAATTGGGAAGTTACCGTACAATTCCGAAAATAAGCCCCAGGGCTTATATTTCACAAAGGCCCTTTTTGAGGGGCTTATTTTTGGAGGGGCTTATGTACGGAGGGGCTTATCTACAGAGGAAATTTGCGTTTCAAAATCGATTGGGCTAGCCTTATAGTTGGAAGTAAATTTACCGTTTTTGCTTCGTTTTACTTTGTATTTGAGGGCACTTTCCAAGTACAAGCCCCTGGGGGCTTATATTTGGAGGGGCGATTTAACGAAGGGTTTTTTGTGTCACCAGTTTGGGGGGCTTACATTTGGAGGGGCTTATTTTCGGAATTTTACGGCGTATGTACAATGTACCACATCCAGAGTGGACACTTCTGTTTGTCTCAGAAGATCATGTACATCCACCTATGCTTTAACCTCTCTAAAATGTCTCTGCCCCAAGTCGTCCATTGTGGATAGGTTCATCTCTACAGTAGTTACAATACAGTACTATGATATCCCATGTAAAAATGCTATGATCATTACCTCTAGTCCCCATATCGTACATGTTGTATCAATGCTTGACGTTCCTAGTAGATTTGGATCCACTTCATTCCAGTCAAAAGATGTCAAAGGAGCACAAAAGTCAGAGTTCTTATTCTGTGTAAACAAGAACAAGTACAAAATGTACACACACACTGTAGACAAATGTAAGAAATAACAGTGTACAGCAATGGTTTTTGCATAAAAAAAATTAAATAATACAAGATCTGTGTGACACACAAATCTGCTATTTTGTGGCCCTTCACAGAATGGGGTGCATCGAATAAGGTCCCAAGAAAGTCTTAGTCTGTAGTTTAAAATTCCCCTATTGATTTACTAGCAAATAACAGGAGAACCTTAGTAGCAGTTTATTTTAAGACAAATTTAAAGGCAGAATAACTAATATTAAGGAATTGACAACTATTTGTGCTTATATGGGGCTGAACGCTAGTGGCAGAGCTTGAAGAAAGTCCTGTCTGGGAGTGCGGGACAAGCAGATTTTCTTGTTGGGCAAGTTACTTTTAAAACTCACTTGCTCAATGGACAAGGGTCTAGGCAAGTCATCCTCTAACAAAATCACTAACTAAGACAGGCAAGAAGAGGCCATGAGCAAACAAAAGTTAGAACTGCTTGCCTAAAGGACAAGATAGAATTCACATTTGTTTTAGCCGCGTTGTGGCCTGCCATGTACATGTAAGATGATTAAGTTTAACACACTGTTGCTCCTGTGCACGTATGATAGTACTAAGACATTTTTGTTTACTTACATTATTAAGCAGACACTCAAGACGCACATCTGAGTCACTAACTCTCCATACCCTGAGGTAATCACCTGAAGTTGCCACTAAATCGGGATATACACCTTTCTGTTGAGAATCAAGTGTAAATTCTGGTAAATACACGTATATCATACAGTGTACAGTTGTTTGTACACATGTATGTGTTGTTCAACAAGCACCAAGCCAAGTACATGTACATGTAGGCTGTTTACCCTTGAACGACTAAGGCAAAGTGAAGGTCCATAAAAAAGGTATTAAAAAGAATGAGGCCAATAAATAGCTAGCCTGCTCTGCAGACAAAACAAAGTCTGTCTGTGAAACAACACCAAAATCCTTGTTCTAGCCCCTCACCTATGGACTTGATTAGCTTGTTAAAGAAGCCATTGTTGATTTGAGACTCAGGTTGAAAGGAAATTCAAAATGCATTTCCAGTTATATGCTGAGTTCGTTGGGGGCCTAGAACATGGAATTAGGCGCTGCTTCGCAGACATTACATCCGCAATGCAGGCTAATAAATAGCCATCTCAACAAAGATTGGACAATTAAGACTTTATCACATGTAGATGGTCAAAAGAAAATTTTTACTAGTGGGAGCATAGGGGCAAATCAGTGGGCAAGATAGGCCTACATGCTTTCATGGGTAAACAATTAGAACACAGGATTTGCTTCAGAAAGCTATTTCTCAATTATATACATAATCCCAGGGATGTAGCTAAGGAAAACCTAAGCAGGCTTTATTATTAGTCAAGCTGACTATTTTAGTCAACTGCATCTTTAAAATTACTCCATGTCTTTGTTTTCCACAGCGATTCGAGCATGTGGTAAGCTCTCCATGAAATTAGCCAGCAGCTGGCTCTTAGTGACATCCCTGTAATCCTCCACTAAGGCCGCTTTATCAGTTTTATATAAATACTGTTGGAGCTACAGATGTGTTAAATGTAAAAAAAAAACTGAAGAGAAGATTGCTACTACTCAAAACTAACTTCAAGATGCTGCCTCTACAAGACGCCAGCCATAAAATTATTTCATGTTAGGACAGCCCTACACTGACAATTCAAGGATCCCAGTGACAGAGATGATACACTGTGCAGTTCTACCACAATTCTCATACATGTAAATGTATTCCTGTATGTACACATATAATGTGCAAACATTCTGCGTAAAAGGCATTGACTTAAAAATGAGAAAGTGAATGAAATGACAAAAAGTTTTAGATGATAAATTTAGCCACTGTTAAATGAAGTTAAAAAGCACTATTTCATAAGACTAGTGCACTAGCTTACAAGCTGCTATAATTATGTGTGAAGTTTTGCTGATATCAAACATTACTCGGACAATAATTTGGCGGAAAAACTGAGAAAAATTAAAGCCACAAATTAACAATTTACAGCTTGATATGAGCAATACAGGCAAATTGATGTTTGATTGTCAAAGCCACCATACCGTTTTCATTCATAGAAAAGCTGTTAACTTGTTCATTGTGTGTCTAAACAAAAGTGCTCAATTTAGCTTTCAATCAAAGAGTCGTTTTACTTCCATTTACAGAACATGAATGAACAAGATAATGAAAACCTTTATGGGCGGTCGCCTCAAACGAAAAACGTTTAGCAGGTAAAACTGTCGTGCTTTTATTGCGTACTGGCGATGAAAAATAATTTGCATTTGATAATAAGCTTCTACGAGGGGCATCAAGCTTTTGTTTAAGATCACAAGGAAAGCATGCTGAACTTCTGTCGTAGATTTTCACTGGATGGGCAGCAACATACCTTCAAGATTCTGTGTTTAACTCGGTACAATTATCGAAGAGAAAACTACGACTAGGACACCATTTATCAAAATAAAAGTTCAATCGACTTACACTGTCAGGAATCCAAATAATTTTTGTTGTTGGGTATGGATGGTCAAAAGTCGCTTTCACCACAAAGTCGCCGGTATCCTCGTCGAGATAAATAATCTGAACCTAAAGACAGTGATAATTGAAAAGATCCGATCAAATGGAAGTAAAGTTTATAAAATAAACACAAATTCGTTTTGTATCAGACCTTATTGTTGTATTCCTCTACGAAGCTACCCAACGCGAGTCGAAATCGTTTGTCAGGCCGCACGCTCCAGTTCATGCCGTATATCGTCCAAGGCGCGTCATATTTATAAATTTCTTTTCTCTTTCCAGAAGCACCTGCCACAGGTATCATGGCCATAATGATGGCCGAACCTCACGGCAAACTACAACAAACTCAATTTGTTGGAAGACGAAATAAACAAAAGAGAGTTCAAGGAAATACAAATGGCGGCTCGCTTAGCCTCGGTCTCGTGCTCGACACAGGGCACCGCAATCTCATGCCCAGACTCCTCCCCAGCTGGTTTGCAGTTAGCCAGGCGTTTCTGGGGAAAAGGGGAAAGATGGAAGCGAAAAAGGGAGAGAGCCGAAGGACCTGAAGGAGAGAAACCTTTCTCTTCTCCTCCTCCCCCCTCCCCAATCTAAAATCTCCTCTCCCCTAGCCCCTTAGGAAGGCCTGATACTCAGGCTAGTTTATTACTTATTCGGCGCAAATATCTATATGAATATATTCAAATGCGAATAGTTTGTAGTCGGATCACTCCTTGCTGTGGTGATAGTGACGTTTAATAGTATACGAGCAGTTATCTTGGGAAATACAAAAGGTTTTAGATTATATCTACTAGATAAGGGCAATAGCTCCCAAGTTTGAGCATATGAATGGTCACAGGGATAGGCAGACGGGTAACATGAAACCACAAAGGTCACAAAGCGCGCTTTATCGTTTGCGGTATTGGACATCAGACCTAATCAGTATATTGTTTCCTTATACGATCAGTAATTGAATACGCCTCGGCTGTATTCGCGAGTCTGCCAAAGTATCTGTCTGATGCGTTGGAGGGAATTCAAAAGCGCGCCCTTAGGATAATTCTTCCGAATTTACATTATGACGAGGCATTGATACTGAGTGGCCTGCCGTCTTTAGAAGACCGTAGAGCAGCTGCTTGCGAATCATTTATGCGTAATTTAAAACCATCCAACCCTGTGTTTGGCCTTGCCATGAGTGGAAGGGTAACTACCGTTCACTCGTACTCGTCAGCTGCCGGAACTATGGTAACAAAATGTGTAAGACAAAAACATTGTCAGAATTTGTATCTGCGAAATATTTAGATTATTGTCATAAGATAAATGTTAATTATGTGTAACTTGCGCACGATTCTGTTATCCAGCTCTTAGCTGCAAGGGGTTCTGAATAAACAACTCTAATCTACTACTCTACTAGAAAGACGTATCTCGCAAAAAGCCGCGCGAAACTCGGTTTGGTAGCGGCACTCAAGTTGAGCCCTGTCGGTCGGGGTTAAGAACGGAATGGGTGACCTGCCGCGAATATCGTCGTCTTCTTCTTTTTGGCGTATCAGTGTGTGGTGTTATTTTTAGAAAGTGTATTGAAAAGCATATTTAGCATTATATCGACCTCCGGATTTAGAAAAAAAAACAACAACAAAAACAAAGCACAAATATGGCAGTGCAGTTCGCATGCAAATTATTATACTTCGGGCCGTAGTACAGAGCTGAAACTTTGCAGACTTTGATTTATCGCTATAATTGCGTTTGCTCTTCTCTTTTGTTTACTTGGGTGGTCGTGATTCACCGATTGTAAACATTTTTTCACGGACGATAATCACGGTGTTTGTTGTCGATAGCAAACTGGTTCTAATCTGCGGATCTGCTGGAAACCCCAAAATGCTCGTTAACGTCACACTGGTGACGTCATTTGGAACGCGTGGCGACTTTGTCGCTAGGCAACTGCGGATGATGACCAAAGCCAAATCACACTCTGCTTACGATGACGTCACGCTGCTGACGTCAATTGGGACGCCGTCGCGAAATTAAATCTCGTTTAAAATCTGGACAGCAAAACGTATTTCAATTGGAGCTTTTCAGACTTTCCTTTGACTGCCTTTGAGTGCCATGCCTTGAGTAAGACAAGTTATAATTTTCTGGGGCAACCATCTGCAGTCTGCTGTGAAGAGCATTCGACCAAACACACTTATTATGACATACACCAATAATGGTAGATTGAAGATGATAACAAATACGCGTGCCTTATCTCAAAACGTTCTTGGATAATTTGTGGAAGCGCGTTGTGGAAGTGCGTTCAAATGGACAACAGATGAGTATGGTGGTCTTGATGACACTAGCCCTAACGCATGCGTATTTACACCTAAGCCTCTTCATGAGTAAGCAGTGCGTGTTCATTAGACGAAGAGATCAAAATGGAACTCTCTCCACCACAAGGAATACGTGAGCCATCTCAACGTTCGCAGCCTCTGACTCTCGAGCAGGGAATACAGCAACGCCAACTATGCTGGATTTCAGCCTAAAGTTTATGTGTAAAAGGGAACTTAGGAGATTACAGATGTTTCAGCTCTTTCACGAATCTTAACGCCATCTACTAACAGCAGTTATCTAAAATATAAAAGGCGTAACCATTAAGTGTTCCGAATTGGCAATGCTTCCAAACCCCTTGTAAGGGTTGCTTAGCACCAGAGCACTAGAACTGACAGATCTTTGACAGTCGGCGTCAATCCTTGGCAGGAGTTTGATGCAGAAAACAACTCGCTGTATTTCGGTAAAAGACAATCCTGCAATACTACCATTAAATGTTCTTAAACGTTAAACCCTATTGCAAGATAAAAGTAGAGTTGAACCTCCAAGTGCGACCACCTTCGACGTCAGTGACTACCTCCCACAAGCGCGATTACTTATCAAAAAGACCAAAATTTAATCATGGGTGATGCTCATCACAAGGAAAGTGACAGTTCTATCATAGAAAATATCATTCACTTAAAGGGAACATGAGGGGTATTTCCTCAAAGACGTAGACCCGCAGATACCAACAAGTACATTCTATCTAGTCAAACTGGTGGAAGATTATATAAAATGGCTCAGTCAGGACTTTGGGATCGTTTTCTCTCTGTCACAACTGAACTCACTGGTCTCCAAAGATTTATGGGATGACTTTTACAATTACGAGCATAACGAAAGTTGCCGGCGCCAGTAAAGAAATTTAATAAAGTTGCTTAAGTTGTTAATGCATTCTTGCATTCGTCAGAGGACAGCATTGTTCTCCATTACTGAGCAGGGAGAATCCATGTCCAGTAGGCCCTCGCCTGTGTACAGCTGCCCAATTCCCTCAAAAAAAATCTCTCTCTCCCCGATTTGTTTTAGGAGAAGCCCTGTACACAGACTAGTAGGCCCAAAAAAGAAGAAGAAGGGTGGCTGCATCAACTTACTTTCATTTTGTTAGAACAGCTATTTATCAGCTGTAACCAGCAGTAATTGATAGGAAACTAAAAAGAAATTTCTTTGTAATTTAAAGTTGGGTCTGTTAAATTTTCTAATTCACTGAGTGATTGCCGGTCTCGAACTCCAAAACATGGCTCGCTGCACCACAGGTGTTGGAGTGCTAAAAGCTAGGCTTCGTACTCCTTGCTTCGCTCACGACTAATTTTGGGTGACACTGTAAAGCATACCGTGGTTTTCTTAATTTTGGTATTTTACACGAGCTTTACCTTATGTTTTGGTAATGGAAAGTTTATGTCGGGTGTTTGGTATTCCGCTACCTCGTCCCCCTCCTGGCCGACATTTACCCATTTTTCAAAATATACACAAGCGTACTTGTCAACTAAAGTTTTTGTGCTAAAGACCGATTTCACTACAGTATCGTTCAATACTAAATTTTCAGTGATTCTAACATAAATCACTTGTATGTATTCGATTCATACGTGTTGATTTTACGCAAATCGATACATAGTTTCACCGTCCATTCATGAAGATTTACATGCTTCCTCTAAATCGCTCGGGGTTATAAATTCGGTCCATATATGGAGGCGAAGAAACGATTCATTTATTAAAGACGATACATATCGTCAAGACATCATGGGACAATCATGACTGACTAATTACGGTTGTGTGCGTGGTAGATATACCGTATTTACCCATTTTTCACGACAGTTTTTCAAAATATGCCCAAACGTACTTGTCACCCGTTTAAAGTTTTCACGCTGAAGATTAATTTCACTACAATATCGTTCAAAAGCAATTGATGGTTTTCACAGTGACGTCATCAGATTGCAAAGTCAAGAAATCGAGGTTTTACGTATTTTTATTTACACGAGGTTGAAGATAAATAGAAAATAAATCTTTGTACAAGTTTCCAGCCCCGAAGCACGTTTCATTTCGAAAATACAGCAATTTGAACTTCCGAGTTTTCAAAGTGCGTGACAGCAAATTAGGAATGCTGTCTCATTGAAAAAAGTCTCTCCTCCTGATTTTCAGCAGTTTAACCATTTCAGGTATTAAAAGATGTGTTTATGCGCACGTATGCTAGCTCTCGAGTGAAAAGGGAGAGCTTTTATAGAAAAAGTGAACTCCAGGTGTTTTTGTTGGTTTCCGGCGGCCATATTGGTGGACTGTTTCTGTCCGCCAATCATGGCGTCGACATACAAAGCTCTACAAAAGTACATGAAATGTTTCGGCAATTAACTCAGAAACTGTGGGCTACAAAGACCTGAGATTTGGACGAATTGTTTATATATTAGTCTTTTATAACATTTCTATTTCTTGGCTTCTTCCACTGGACGGTTTCCAATTTATTTTTTTGTGCCGTGTTTATTACGTGACAGTGAAAACGAAGAATACCATGGATATTACCTGTGGCAATACTAAATTCTCAGTCATTCTAATAGTGCGTAATTAAACATTCATTTTGTACGTTACCAAGCACAAAATTTTTAATACAGCTATAAATGCATTCTGAGTATTTTTTTTCTGTCTTTTTGCATTTTCTCCTTGCTGGATCCGCCCCTGAGGAATTACAGGAAAATACATAGATTTTTCAAAAACAAAATTACTTCGTCAAAGGTATAACATAGCTAGACGTAAGCAAAAAAAATGTTAACGAAAAATTTGAAAAGTATTTCTTTATGAGCTTTAAATTCTAAATTTTATTTAACCCGTGAAATCATGGGTAGTAGAATACTACGCGCTATCATGCACTAATTCCATTGTCTTTTTTGTTGACTTGTAGCTATTTTGCACTAGTAGTTATTATCTGTTTCACGGGTCAAGTAAAATCACTCTAATATAGATTTTATTAAACAACACAGTTTTTTCCGAGTTTTGTGGCTCAAAGCCACTTTGATCTATACTATATATATATCTGCGAGAACTGACTACACAAAGAGAGGACTTTATTTCATAAAAGATCAGCGTGGATAAACTGCCTCAAACTATGGCAGCT